CCACCCCCCACCCCCCCCAGACAAAGCCAAGCGCTGGGTCCATCCTGCAGAGATGCCTCCTGCTCACTTTATGTGAGGAAACGAGAGCCAGCAAAGTGCCCGGGAGGGGAGGGGAGAGGAGGGAAGGGAGCTGCCCTGCCCCGCTACCCTGCGCACAGGGAGGTGGCTGTAGGCACCTTCCATCAGCCGACGGCTGGCGCGAACAGGTGGTGAAGGAAAAGGCTGACACCTCTCAGAGCTTAATCGTTCCCGTTAGTAGCTTTATGAATGGCAGCCAGAAAGTGCCATAATTGCTGCAGTGACGCTTGCTAATGACTCGAGTTAGATCTGGCAAAAAGTCAAAGGCAGGAAAGAAGAAGAAAAATAGCAGGATTGACATCTGCCTTTGACCACCATAGAGGAGAGCGGAGCAAGCCCAGCTTGGGACCTGCAGCTATTGACAGGCAGGGACCAAGCATCATAGGTGAGCAGGGAGAAATTTTACAGTGTACCCCTTGGTGAGGGAAGAGAACTGAATGTGAAGGGGAAGAGGGAATACAAAAACAAGCCCCAATTTTCAGGTTAGTTCAAGATCCTTGTTCTTGGAGGACGAAGGTGACCCAGCTCACAGATACCATCTCCTACTCCAAAATCCTGTTGAGCCAGGGCAGCACAAGCCCCGGGGTAAGCAGGGTAACTCAGCTCGCCACCAGCCTCAGCATCACGGGCACTGCCCTGCACGTGCTGTGGGACACCCAGTCCACAAGCTGGTCGCCGGGGGAGAGTTGTTCCCAAAATGAAATCCAGCCCCTGGTGAGCAAACAGCATGCTCCTCCTGATTATGTATCTGTTTCTGAATGTTAACAAACAGTCGGCAGCATCTGATTGAGTGGGTTATTAGCAGAATGAAGACAGATGGTGGAGGATTAACTCTAAAGAGTCTTTATTGCAAGGCCGTCATTACAGACAGCTCTACCTCTCTCTCCCTCTGTCTACAACTGTCAGCAGCTTAATTTCACCCTACAACTCCCAGCCGCACGCCAAACAGCGATCCCAGCACACAGACAAGGCAACTGTCAATCACAGCAATGGGATAAGCATCTAGCAGCCACGCTGGAGTCGCGTCTCCCCACTCCCCAGCCCCTATGCACCCCCAAATGGTGCCCAAATCCAGCACCTTTCCTGGCAAGGACTCCACAACGGCAATGGAGCGAGAGGCAATCAATCCCAATGCCAGCTGCAAGGAGAGAGTCCAAATCATTTTTGCCTTGCACATCACCGGTGCTGCCAGTAGCAGCCCGGGCTTACAGCTGGGAGACACACCAACACCTCACCCAGACCTGTTTTTTTGTGATGTGGGTTGATATATATGAGGAACTGGTATTTGTTAACTAACACTGACAGAGGCAAGTTCTTGGACACTTATTTCTGGAGGCCAGCTCAGCCAGAAGTGCCCGCATCTGCAATCCGTTGTGTTAAGGGACATCCATCCCTTGCCAGCTGGTAAACAAACAACATAATGCTACCAAAGACCCTTGCTGGGCATGGCCACAGAGCATCTGTAAGCCACAACATTTATTTTACCCTGCTGGGAGAGGTTGCCACACTGGTCTGCAAGTGCCCAGACTAGATCTTCTTCATGGGGATAGCCAAGAGAAACGCTTTCCCCCCCCGAAGTGATTCTCCCACACTGACAAGGCCTCTGTCCTCCGTCTAAGTCCTCTTGCGCTTCTCTACCTATGAGCGCATTTTGTAGATGTCTCTGTTAAGTGACAGCAAGGTTCTAATGATCCCTGTAATTACCCATTTCCACTATGATGGAGACCCCACACCTCATAATTATCCCATTGCCCCGCTACCTACCTCTGCTTTCAGTTCCTTCAGCTACCCTGTAATTATTAATAGGGCTATTCATTAGCACCATCGTGCAATAAAAAGAGGAAAAGTTCTCACTTGGCAAAACTATAAAAGGGAAGCCGTCTCTCTCCTTATCCCTGCAAGGTAACTGGCCCAAAGAGTCTGTCTCGGGCATTTTGGGCAGGAAATACCTTCACTGTACCTCTGTAGATGACCAGACATCTGAAATCCCACTTGGCTCACACGCCATACAGTGTGGATCTGCACTGAAATCCACCAAAAACCCAGGAGGTTGAAGGCCTGCAATTGTCATCCGGAACCGCCTCTAGTGAAAACACAGGTCCTAGGCGGTCTTTGTAGCCATGGAAATCCCCTGACATTGTTTTTTGGCAGATTGTACCTTTAAACGTAATGGTCCTGCAGCCTGCGGGGGCCAGCAACTCGCTGGCTGCACAGCATCAGGCAGGCACGCTTTGTTCTCTTTCCCACACAAAAGCTTTACTCTTGGCTTTTCATGTTTCTTTGTTCTCTCCACACAAAGCCACGTTCAGCCTGAAAAGGGCTCACATCGTCGGCAGAGGCAGGCTTTGAATCCACCCGGGGACAGGAGCTTCTGTGAATGATCCTTTGGGATCGGCAAGATGTCCAGGTGTGCCTGTGGTCCTGTCGGCCCTTGGACACCCCACGAGCATCCCCAGGGTGCTCCTGCCCGTCGGAGCACAGCCACAGGCAGCCTCTCCAAGAGGCTTGAGGGACAGGAAGGTATTGTGAGAGAGAGTACACCTTCTCACAGCACTCGGACGAGACTCTGCCATCTGTTCTCCCAAGGGGCATCCCCTTCCCCTTAAAAACGTACTCTAATCAATTTTAAAAAGCACGTGGTAATTAACAAGCACGAGGTGAAGTCTTGTGAAGTCCTTTCCCCATGTTATCAGCTCAGTATCAGGGCTCCTGGGAACCTGAAGGAACCTTTGATCTTCTAGCTGATATTTCAGCCATAAACTTGCCTCCAGAAGAGTTTTACCCCAAGGAAGCTAATGCACCTTTTACTCTCGTGAAGACAAGGCTTCCTGCAAGGGCTGTGGCTAAGCATCATCCCACACAGGCAAAAGGGAGCGCAGCGGGCCAAGCAATCACACCCTTCGTCCAAATCAGTTCCGAGCAAAGCCCCGGAAAAGGATTAAATCCATGTTCAGCGCAAGTTTGACTCCCCAACCTCACAGCAGCCAAATGCTCCCTGACACACCCTCAGGACCCTCCCATCTTGCAGCGCTCCAGAACCTTTAATCCTTGTCTCCTCCAGCATCCATCAGAGATGGTGCTGCACCAGGGTTTGCTCCAGAAAGAGAAGCCAAGCAATGAAGCTACCAGAAGCAAGGATGCCAAATCTGCTGAGCATAAATAGGTTTTGCTTAGTTATTATGCTTCATAATTATTTATGATATTTCTATGGGTTAATCAATGCTCATAAAGTACTTGGGGGAAGACTGGAATATAAAAGAGGGAAATTTTCACAAAATCTTTGCTGGAGTGTAGGGGTTTGACAAGCAACAGAACGGTGCCTCTGAGAGGTGCAAAGGCACTGAAAACTGGTACTCTGAAGGTGTCACGGTAAGGCATTCCCACCCAACTCGAATAATAAGACTAGACACAGCAATTGCTGGAAGAGCTTCCCATGTGACAAATCCCTTCGAGAGGAAAAGACAGTGGATTTTGGATGCGTGGTACTAATAACTTCCTGCTCTTCTCTTGCAGCTTCATGCAGGGGGTTTCCCCCATCCATGCCCGCTAAGGTGTTCCAGAGATCCCAAGGGAAGCAGGATTTCCTCCTCGGTGTGATCAAGAACCTAGCACATTCCTAGCAGTAGCACATCCACATCCCTTGTAACGAGATTGCTAAAGAGGAAGGAAGAATGGGACGTGAGGGAACCGCTCACCTTCAGTCATCCTGCGGTACTTCTCCTTGTACATGAACCCCAGTACTAGGCAGCATCCTCTTCCTGGGAGCCCCAGTTCTGCAAGAGAAGAGAGAGCGATGTTAGAAGTCCAGGCTGGGGACAAGAGCAAGCACACGGGGATGCTGCAGGGAGCAAAGCCTGCTGGTTACACCAGTCAGGTAAAGCACCAGCAAGGCAGGCACGGAGCTGAAGTCTTTGGTCAGCCTCACTGAGCTGAGCTTTGCTGGGGGTCCCAAACCAACTGCTTCCAGCTGCTGCTGCGCTGCTCCGTTCATCGAGAGGCAGGAGGGTCACCGTCCCCTCCATTGCCCGTTTCTGAAGCTCCTCTATACCAAGCAGAGGGAACGAGCTGCATCATCCTCCACATCAGAGCGTTGCAACCATATGGACCCATTTATCCCTTTCTCCCTTAGCAGCAGCAGAATAAAACGGGAAACGGCCCTCAGAGGGGAAGATGAGTCTGACTTGAGGTGTCTTGCTCTTTCAGAAGCAAGCAAGTGACCCTACAAGCAGTAAAGTGCCAGAGTCTGAGGAGGCGCACCGCTTTGATGCCTCGATTTCTTAATGGGGCTTTCTGACTATCGGTAACAAACAGAGAGAGATCTGAACACGGGTTTTTCCAGAAGTAGGCTGCGTGCATGCGTGCTCTCCCTGTGCACATCGCAGAGCAGCAAAAAGCTCTAGTTCTTCAAACAAATTCTCCTGTGTCACAGTGGAGAAAAATAAGGTAACATGTCCCCGATGCTGCCTGTGGACCTGCAGAGCTCCTCGGGGGCTTCTGTGCTCTGCAGAGCCCTGCTGATCAAAGCCCCTTTGATGTTTACTTAATGTGGCTGCGGACTCTTTAGAGCCCCCCCCTCTGCTGAGGAAGGAGCGCTCGGGATTGTCATGAAGTTGTGCTGCATGTGAGAGGGGAAGGCAGCAAGGCAGGAGGGGCCAGAGCACAGCGACAGCTTTAGAGCAGAGCGAGCATTGCCCGGTGGCCTTGGCTTTTAGTGCCATGATGCAAACCTGGGTTTGAATTGCAGATCTGGACCGTGCCCAGAGGAAGAGGAAAGTCGCTCACTGCAGTGTGATGTGATGTGATGTGCAGGGAAGACACCCAGATTTCTATGGGCCCTATACCCAGATATACAGGACCCTTCCCTAATGCTGCTAGCTGCCATGCTATCCTGACAGAGGGGTTAGCATCCTCCTCTTGTGCACAGTGTGAAGCAGAATCAGAGCCTAAATCCAGAAAAACAGACAACTTTTGACCTCAGGACACACAGGGTACACACAAGACTAATTAAAGCACTTTAGTTAACATTAAACAGGGCTCCACCTTTGAAGAGGCTCCTAGTCCTGAGGCTCCCAGCAGGGAGGACATCAGCACCTACTCAAAATAAATCACATGTGTAATCCCACTGAAGTTGATGCTCAGACAAAAGTAAGTCTCTTGAGATGCTTAGAGTAAGCTGAAATTTAATTGCTCCCCTAAATCCACATTGCTACCCTAAGGTAATGCCCCAGAGAGAAATCAGCAGAACTAGAACGTGACTCACTTCACCTACCCGGCATGACTTTGGGGGTGCTTGCAACTCTCTCGTTGGCCATAAAAGGTGGTGATTAACTCAGATGTAGATGTCTAAAGATTAGAGAAATCAGGACAGATGACTCAACCTCAGAGGTTCCTTGAATCAGAGTTCTAATTAACAGGAAGAGGTAAACAGCAACTACCTCCCTTCTCTGATACAAAAAGAAACCAGCCCTCTCGCTCCACAGTAGAGAGGCACCACAATCTACCATGACCTCCAGGAAGTACACAACCACCACAAATACAACGAAAAAGGGGCTGACTTGCAGAGCACTAGATGCCTCTAATACTCCTGGCCGCTGCTGGTTTTAGCTGAAGGACATTCACAGAATCCCAGAATCATCTGGGTTGGAAAAGCCCTTGAAGCTCCTCCAGCCCAACCATGACCCTCACCCTGACCGTTCCCAACTCCCCCAGATCCCTCAGCGCTGGCTCAGCCCGACTCTTCAACCCCTCCAGGGATCCCGGGGACTCCCCCCTGCCCTGGGCAGCCCATTCCAACGCCCAACAGCCCCTTCTGCACAGAAATCCTTCCTCAGAGCCAGCCTGACCCTGCCCTGGGCAGCTTGAGGCCATTCCCTCGGGGCCTGGCGCTGGCTCCTTGGCTCCAGAGACTCATCCCCCCTCTCTGCCCCCTCCTGGCAGGGAGTTGCAGAGGGCCAGGAGGTCTCCCCTCAGCCTCCTCTGCTCCAGACTGAACCCCCCCAGTTCCCCCAGCCGCTCCCCAGCAGACCTGTGCTCCAGACCCTGCCCCAGCTCCGTTGCCCTTCTCTGGCCACGCTCGAGTCACTCAATGGCCTTTTTGGGGTGAGGGGCCCAAAACTGAACCCACTCAGCGAGGGCTAGAATCAGCAAGATCTTGCTGAACTTTGAGTGGTTTCCATGACACCTGGAAAGGCAGACACGGTGCACGTGGCCGGACAGCTGCGAGCCTGGCAGTAGCCTCCCAAGCCTTCGGGGCCGTTTACACTGAGCCTGTGAAGCAGGCAAGAGGCATTTATGTCTTTATTGATAGGAAAGCAAAACTGCATCGATTCCTACTGAGCCTTCAAGAAGCACCAAGGTATCAAAGAGTAATTAAACCAAAACAATTAGATTAGCATCACGCAAGGCAGTGAAGCCCACAGCGGAGTTGAGCAAGCAGCGTTCCTATCTTACTAATTCAGACCCGCATGACACATCCCTGCATGCACACGTGGGCCTGTTTGTGGGTGCTGGCTGGGTTTTTCCTGAACACACAGACCTGGCATGACAGGGGCTGCCAGATTCTCCATGGACCACGACCACAAACATCACCAAGAGCATCCTGAACCGAGCAGGGATGGAGGCAGCGAGAGCTGCAGCTTTCTTGGGGGATGAATGTCCCACCATGCAGACACCCAGCTCTCATCTCCCAGCCGCAGGGAGCAAAATCCTCCCGAGAAGAAGGTCTGGCAGGGGGCTATGACCCAAGGCAACGACTCTGCTACCCAAGAGGTCCCAGTCACAACTTATCCCTGAGAGGAGGGAGGGATTGTCAGGGCTGAGCCGCATGGGCTGGATCCAGACGAAATCTGGGTTATTACCCGTCTAGAGGCTGGATCAGTGCACACCAGTATGGGTGTCTATCTTCCATTTGCCTCCCTGAGGGGTGATATAATTAATGCTTATAAACCACTTTGATATCCCATGATGAAAGGAACCATACAACAGCACTACATTATAATAATTCATACCATAATTTTGTGAGAACATGCAAAATTCTTTATAGCTAAAGGCACCTTTAAACACTTGAGAGGGCTTTTAAAAGGGTAAGATACTTCAAGATGACTCTAATGCCTAAGGATCTCTCACCACTTCATGGCTTTTAGTGGCTACCTAAAGCTAAAATAGTTAAGCAGATACCCAGCATTTAAATGTTTTGGCTTTAGGGAGGCTGCTCAAATACCACTGAAAACAGAACACTTTAACCCATACGTGTCCCCCGCACCCAAACCAAATCCTATCCATTTCCTTGCGACGGCAACTGATTTTTCCCGGCAGAGTGAAACTAGTTACAGTTGAAGTTTATCATCCCAGGCGCTTTGAAGAAGTGTGAACTTAAGTATCTTGTTTGGAAAATACATGGCAGCAGCATGTTTTGACTCGCTCAAGAGTACCTGCATTAATTCAAATCTGGCAGAAGCATAAGCAAGTTCAAACCACTCGTTGCCAGCATTAGTGGCAGCCCGTGACAACGAAGTTACAGCCAATTAAAAGAAACAAGAATTCAGGGTCTTTCAGAAAGGGATCTGTATGCACAGACTGGGCGAGTCTCCTTTGAAAGCAAGATTTCTCTTTGCTTGCCCAAACTATTCTCCCATCATTTGGGATCTCCTTACTCAATTTTTCAAGGCAATTCCTCCACTGATGATTCAGGGAGGGAACTAAATTTCTGATCAACCGGTGCAGTAGAGGCTAAAGCTACAAAGCAGTAATAAAGGTTTATTAACGCAATCATAATGTGTACTATTGTGTAGCTGTATTCCACCAGGAATGATAATAAATGTTTAATCGCCCAATAATACCTGTTTAATAATTTTTCAGCACATCCTGTCTAATTGCAAGTTTATTAAAGAACGATAAACTTTATAATCGTTGTAAAGGCATAATTGCAATTCCATTGCTTATTTAATATTGAGTTAATTATATTACAACTAAGTTATATTTTCCCATACATATTAAATATCAATTAGCTGTTTTAAACTATTGATTTGTATTTAATTAACTATGCTATTATATACCAATTAAGCTCTTATAAGAGAAGCAGAAACAGCTGGTCTCTTAAATTAAAAATTTTAAAAACTTTGTATTAACATAAATATCACGTTTCCATTTTCTCGTGTTTTCCTTCTACACAGATGACAATTTGCTATCTGTAAATATTTTTTCCAATTGCGTGTTACACGCATGAGCTTCATTCTAAACTTTTTCTTTCCAGGATGGCGAATGGGTGACATCCATGCCTGATATCCTAGCGTCAGCGACACCAAAGCATGCTGCCTGGGGAAGAGAGAGGGTTGGAAAAGTCCCATCTCACCTGGGGATCTCAGAAACAAAGAACTTGGGTGGGAGTTCATGGAAGAGCATGGAAGTCTCAATGAAAGATGCTCAACACCTTCTTCTCTCTTTCTGAGTTGGCCAGCAAGGGTGATATGAGAAGGTATCACCAAATCCAAGAGTTTTTGATCAATGAAACACTTTGATTGAGAAACCTAATGCTTCTGATTATAAGTTCCCTGTCCTGATGGATAAAGCTGTTGGATATCTTGCTAAAGAAGTTCATTATGGACAGAAAAGCCTGGTCTCCCGAGTCTTTCCATGCTCTTGGGCTCACCAAGTCTATCCCAAAAGTTACAAGAAATGCACGAAGGAGCATTTTCTTCTTTGTTTTCCATCATCCTGCTTTCCAGACTCAGTAACCTTCTTGCTTTTCTCATGCAGATTTCTTAAACCTCTTCTT